CCTTCACTTTCTTTAAACTGCTCAGGGCTAAAAGTGTTACAGCTTTGAGAATGTTCTTGCATGTTTTATTCCCCCTCCCAATCTTTATTTTTCTTTTTCCTGCACCCAAAATACAGACCTTTATTGAAGTTGAACAGGCAGGGTAACCTGAATTCACAGTTGTGGAAGGTTGGAGAGGGCACTTTGCACTGTTTGAAATACCTCATAAGTTGAGTGTCTTCACTAAAATAGGGACTTGATGAATATTGTCTGACTTGTATCTCTGGCAGGCTAACCAGTTTTACAATCCAAACCACACGAGTGGTTCGGGGTTCAGTTTGTGGATTACAGAATTGAAGAGGCCCACTACTCACTACTTGTGGGTTGAGGGCTTTAAAACACTTCCTAACCACACGAACCTTAATGTAAAGGTATCTGGAGAGATATACAGGTTTCCATTCTTTACTGTAAATTGATATTGGTTTGGAGGCCATTGCTAGGGAACTGTGCTGCGTTGTGCTGGTAGTATTTGGTGTGTGTGTATACCTGATCTAAAACCCTTGCGCATCTCAGTAGAAGAAAACTATCTCCCTTAAGTATTTATTTGATAGAAAATGTTATGCCCCTCATCTAAAAGTTAACTTTTAAGTGTTTGAATGATGCACCTTAACTGGAAGAAACTGAGTAGAAAAGCATGCAGCTATCTCTTATCCCATATCGAATTTTATTTTGGGCAGTTTTCCTGGAGTTCAGTTTATGCCTTTCTCCAGTACAAAATAGTGACTGAGATCTGGTGCAGAGTTTGCTCTCAGCAGTGACGTTGGGGGAGCTTCTTAAACCTACTGAAAGCAGAGAGGCTTATTATGAAACTTCTGTTGTCACAAGTCAGGAGGAAGCAGTACCTATTTAAGAACTGTATGCTAGTTTGAAATAAACTAGTTCTAAATAGACTCCTGGCTGGTTTATTATTGCAGACTTTAGGACTGACATGTCCCAAGTTGCTTGCCAACTAAAATGTTCCTGTTCTGTTGCAGATTAGAGGAGTTTCTGATCAGGTGAGGTAAAGCCGATTTCCTATGAAGAGAAACATTTTTGTTTTACTGTAGTATAATCATAGTTAGTCCTAGGACTTTCTTGAACTTTTTTTGGTGAGTAAATTGCAAGTGACCTGTATAATTTTAACTCCACCCAGCAACATATTATGCCTGTTTCAAAGGTGAAAATGATGCTTTGGACTAACCTGTGATACTTAGTGTTGGATGGCAAAAATCTTCAAATCAAATCAATTGGAGGAACAATTAAAACTAATTGGGGTGGTTGTTTTGGAAGGATAGTCCATGAGTAGCTGTTAATAATGAATCCCAGGGCTAGAGAGATGACACTAACCTGCTGAAATGTAAGACAAATGTGTTAAGTGTTTTCCTTTTAGTAGAAATACAGTCAGTATTGCTGGTATATTCTCAGTTCACTCCCAGGGCAACTTGGTATTTAAAAAAAACCACACCACCACACACACAAAAAGCCCTGACCAAAGGATGGAGCTGCTGCATGTAATAAATAGACCAATGACAGACTGTCTTACATGAATATGGTAAAGTCATTTTTAGGAGCCTGGATACTTTGGTGTGTATTGGCTTCTGCCTGGCTTCCAGCAACTGTTGGACAGCTAATGGATTTTAAAAGCTCATTAGCTACCCCATTAGTAAATGAAGTTTATGTGCTTAAAAACACAAAAAGAAAAAAAAAAAGTACTTTTAAGAACATTGTGTAGTAAATTTCTAACCACCACTTCCATGGGAAAGCATAGAGGATTTTTATGCTTTTTTTTCTCCCCTTATTACAAACTTCAGGTTAACTGGAGGAGTACTTGCTGCTGGTTGTGAAAGCAAAGTATATGTCATTTAATGATGATTGTCTCCTGGAACAGAAGACTAAGGTGGTTACCTTACTCTGCTTACAACCTGCTCTGGAGCATCTGGATGTTCCAAACATTGGAATGTTTTTCTCCCTTGCTGTTACAAGTCCATGTTCTTGACTTCCCTGAGCTCTAACAACAAATTAGCAAGTTGGCTGAGAGAATGCTGTGACTGGTAATCAGAATCATAGTATTGCAATGAATACCACACAAGGAAATAATTCCTGAGACTCTAAGCTCGAGTATTAGTGGAATATCAATACTATTTTCTGGTGCAGCATAGCCAAATCTGTGAGGGAGTTGGTGCCTTTATGTTAGTGAACAATGCAGTCTGCTTCTCGCATTGTCTTACTGTTGTCTGTAGAATAGATGCTTAATTTCTATGGGATGGAATCAACACTTGTACATCTTTGTATTTCTGAATGCTGTTAAGAATTTAAGGTTTACAGTTTCTGCTTTTGATTGTTAAACTATGTTGTGCATAAAAAAATACATACTTTTATAACTGAATGTGTTTTAAAACTATTTTCTCTTTGAAATGTCTTTGTTTAGTTTCCTGTCCTTGAAAAACTTGGCAGAACTAGTTGCTACTATGCAACTAGGAAGTTCCCCTTCTATTTTTATTCCACAGAAATCCTAAGGCTAACAACAGAATGGGTGTGGTTGGGAAGAGAGGAGCATTGTGATCTTTTTTAACACCCTAGCTGTCATCCCTGCATGATCAACGTCACCTAGCTTCAAACTATGGAATGTGTTCAGATCTTCTCCGAAAGACTGATTTGATATCTGACTATACATCAGGATGATAAAGGAACTAAGTAAAGTAACTTAAACTTTCCAGTCAAGTATCAGTAACATGTGCCTAGCACAGACCCAGTCCAGTAGATGAAATCTAATCATATAACCTACCACCAATGCAATTTCACTTGCGAGGCAATTTGAATTGTATTTTCTCTGACATTAGAGCCTCAGGTTTCCAGAATGCTCTTAGCGGGGAGGAGGTGGGGAGGGAAATACAGACTTGGGGTGACTTGCAGCAGTTTTGAGCTGCAAGAGAAAAGCCTATCTGGGAATGGCTTGAAAGAAGTGCTTCTCACATAGTTTCTACCAGTAGCTGGAAAAAAAAAAAATTAGGGACAGCCTGCATGTAACTATTCTGGGCATGCAGCTCATGTCCCATGGGTCACTTAAATGATGATACCTGGTAAATTCAAGCTGTCCTACTCCTTGGTGAAAGATTAAGCCTCTTAACACAGAGGTAGCTGTAGAATGAACTGCAGCACATGCTGCTTGTGCAGCAACTTGCAGAACTGTCCTCTGTGAAGGCTACAAGGTGAAACAATATGCTGTTTACATGCTGCAGTGACTTGCAGTTGCTAATTCACCTGTGCTGCACTTGAAAAGGCAATGCACTACCTAAACGTTCACTGAATAGGTAAAGGAAAAGTGTATCTTACTGCAATAGAAAACTGGAAAGCAAGTGCTGAAAGTATGAAATAAAATACATGAAGTATTTATATTGTTAACTAGGGTAACATTTTCTAACTCAGTAATTCCAAAACTAAAACGCTGTCAATAATTGTGCATGGGAATGAAATAATTTTATAGTGTCACTTGTAGAGTGGGGGTGGTGAGAAGGGAAAAGTGAGAAACTCCCAATACAAAACTACTAACAAATTACAGACAGTGCTGAGATGTACAGAACAGTGTTCTACTAAGTGACTTAGTCACAGTTATTTATTGCTGTCACCTAAAACATGTGAGGATATCAGCCAACTCTCTCTTGAAACAGTCTTCCTTTGTTCTTGAACAAATTTGGTTAATCCAGGACTAACTCAGCACCACTATTTTTTCTCCCTTTTGCTTTACAAGATTTTTGATAGCTGTCATAACTCCAAGGTAGCAGAGGAGCCTAACAATGAGCAATTGAAAGGTTTCTAAAGATGCTAGTGATCACATAAAATAAATGTTGACTTTTTCAAATACTTCCAAAGATTTTTTTTTTACAGCACAGCTAACTGCATCATTTTTTAATGTTCTGATCTATCATCTCTTCTTACATATCTTTGTTGAATAGACAAAAGAATCCTGATAAACAGGTGTTAAATAAGAAGCAGTGTGTCTGAGCACAGATATTTCCAGTTAAAAGAACAAACCAACAACAAAAGAGAAGCACACATACTGATGATAGACTGCTCCTTTGTAGTTGTCAGAGTTGGGGAATGCAAAGGGGCAATTCACTAACTGAGGGGCTTCGTTCTGTGGCTGTCTTATGCACGGCCAATCTCTAGTAAAAAAAATAAAGTTAATACTTCAAATGGGATTTAGGTATCAAGTGGAAGGAGCTAAAATTTAAAACAAGCCTCAGGCTTTATTCACTGCTGGATTTGCATGTCATAATCTGTAGAGTCTGTTAGTACAAAGCTGACCAGATTTCTGGGTATACAGGGTGTGTTCTTACAGCATTTCCCTGGTTATGTCTTGCAAAACAAAGTAACCTTGTAAAGATTGTCTGCTGACAGCTTCTTTACAGGAAGCTAGTAGTTTTTCCATAAAGTAAGACCTGGAATGGGGATTCTTAAGTAAAACTGTTCCCTATTTAATGATGGATCACATCCATCCTTTGAATAAGGAGCTGATGTTCCCTAAAACACTCTTACAAAAGAGATTACTGTGTAAATACTGAAATAACACAGCAACAGGGTCAGGGAATTGGATACCTCTTCTGAGCATCTTATAAAAGAATCCTTATCGCTAATCTTAGTTATAGTTGTTACCTTGAGGAAAAAGATGGGCACAGAGGTCACCTCGCTTTTCTTAACTGCACATGGCATAAGATGCTGAACACATTTAACAATGACAGCAGCTACTTTAAGGAGGTGGCTGTCCAAATGCCCTTCTTGTCTCATGTAGGAAAGCTTAAGTAGAGAGCAGTAGTTAATGTAACACCAAACAGTTGACAGGCTCAAATCCTCTGAGTTCCTGAAGACCTTGAAGCATAGCTGTTACCAACAACTGACAGAATCAAGTACCCAAGCGGTGGCTTTCAACTTAGCACTATTTGTTAAAAGTGACAACAGCAGCATTACAGCAAATAAACTTGGACTGATTTTTTGAAAACGATTTACTAAAATAAAAAAGTACATTTTCCTTTTCAGTATAAGTTACATAATTGCATACATTTTTAGCTCTTTCTAGGTGTTTTTGGTAATAAGGCAGCAGCAGTAGGCTGACAACTAAAACTTTCAGCATTGCTCTGTACACAAGGAATCAGTGCAAGGATATTATATTTTCCAGCAATATACATTTTTACAGAATTCATTGAAGATGAACCTCAATTTTATTTGATACAGCTCAAGCAGAAGTGGACTGTAGTGCAATTCTTGCTTATGGGAAAAGAAAGCCTGTACAGTAAAGTATGAATGAAGGATGCTCAAACCACGATTTGTTTACCGGAAGCAGTTAATAGAACACTTAACTTAGCCACAACTACTTGTGCTTCATAAAAATCTTATACAGGTTACAAGCTAAAACCTCATCTGTAAAAATTGTTCTCTGCAGAATAGTGCTTACTGCAAGACATACAATGTTTCAGATCTGCTTTGGTGGTAGAACTTCCATGTGCTATCATTGAAAAATGTTTCCAGAAGAAATAATCCTCTTAAAAATCAACAGCCAGTTTCCTGACAAAAGGGAACTGGCACCTTTGAAACGCTCATTCCCTTTCTCTGTGAAAGAACAAGCCCTGACAAAAGGAGAATATGTATTGTGTCAAAGGGTATAGTGGCACAAAAATCAAAACTGGCCCCTGGGCAGGTTCATCAGTTCAATACCCATGTTCTCTAGGTCAAGTTTATTCAGTGTGGCCCTAACAGGCCATATCAGACTACAGAGGAGGAGTACTCTGATCATCTCTTCATCAGTCTTGGTTTAAGTCAGTGAAGCAGGTGCTTCAGTCACTAACTCTTCTAACTGGGAATACACAGGGGCAGAATAATGATCATGCAAACTTCTTCTTTGTCGCAGTAAATCGTTCCATGTACTACAAAGAAAACAAAACAAAAATAAAAATCTAAGATTCAGAAATGAATACAAGATTCGTTAGTATTGAAAGCAGATAAGCTTCTGCTCTCAGATTCAAAAGCACTCTGCATCTAAAGCATGCTTTCATTTCCCAGACATAACCATTAGAGCTTTAATTTCAAACCAAACCAAAAAAAAAAAACCCACAAAAATTTCTGCCATTTGCTGTAATTCAGATTAATGTTCTAGAAAGTCCTCACAGCGCTGATCAGTCAAATCTCAAGCATTACGGGTGAACGAACATTAAACAGTTAAGAACACTCCATAATAGGAAGCATCCGTTAGTTTTTGTCCCATCAAAGTGAAGTCGCACACCTGTCATCTCCAGCTACCCTCCAAAACGTGCTGACGAAAGAACACTGACCCTGAATCCCATGAGAAAATTAATCTCTGAAGAACTCTTGACATTCTTTTCAGAGGTTAGTTATGAACCCAGTACCAATGCCAATACCAAGAGACTGCGCTTGTATTCACCAGCATAAAAGCTTAGTATTCTGAGGAGGTACTGGATAAGGACTTCACCAGAAGCTTCTTTAAAATAAAAAAAAAGAAAGGACACAAACCTTGTCGTAGCCTTCCAGTTCTCTGAGTTTCTTGATCTCAAAGAGGTTGCCTTCTACAGCAAGCAGTGAGATCTGGGAATCACTGAGGATACTTTGAGGAAGCATGCTGAGTTCTAGACAGTTTTCTTCTAAACGCAAGACTTTGAGGCGTGGACAGTGGGAGATCTGCACCGAGATTTGGGAGATCTGGTAGAAATGAAAAAACAAAGAGAAACAGTATTAAAACGTTAGCGATCCACAATTACTTAAAGTGATTCACTTCAGACCAATATCGAAAATTACCATGTTGTAAAGATAAACTACATTAACAGTAACTAAATTAACAGTAACAGAAACAATGCAGAAGCAACAATAATAATGATCAAAAATCTAAGTAACTTTTTTTTCTTCCATGATGACTGGCAACCTACAAAGCTGTTTATCAGATTCCTACTCAAGAACTCTCCAAATAATTTTCTGTATGACTAAATTCAGGATTTCTTAGTCAAATCGGGCAATATCAGCACATAAATTCTAGCTACGATCCCTCATTTCTGTTGTGTCCAGGAAATGTCTTTTAGCTAAAAAGTTTTGATGGTCTCAGCTTACGTTCTGTGGATGTACTAAGTCCAAGATAAACTGTGTCCTAAATCTATGTGCCCATAATATCTCAGTTACCAGACCTGATTCTGATTCAAATTGAGTTCGATAGCTTGCAATTCTCCCACAGTGTCAGGCACGTTTTGGATCTGGTTTTTGGAAAGATCCACCACATCCAAGTGGCGAAGACCGCAGAGTTGTGTAGGCACAGTCCGAAGCTGGTTTCCAGAAAGGCTCAGGGTTTTGAGAGCCGCAAGTTGTCCAAACGCAGCCGGTAGCTGCCTCAAGTGATTGCTGTTCAAGTGTAGTGTTTCCAGTTTTTTCAGTTTACACAGCTCCTCAGGTAAAGCAGCTAGAAACAAATCACAGAACAAAGAGATGACCCAAACAAAGAATATTGATACCCACTTAATTCAAATAAGCTGCTGCATGGAAAACAGTGCAATATTACAGTAATTTCTCACAGGATTCCTCCCCATTTTCCAATGAAGGCACACATCCCTGCACACAACAACACGTGCTTTTTAACCACCTTCCAGAAATATCTTAATCTGCAGACAGGCAAGACCTTCAAATCACAGGCTGAAAACACTACTCTGAGAGGATTTAGCCTATCGGTTATACTCCTCACTAACCACTTTGACAACGTATTCTATGACGTCTGAAGTAGCACACAATTCATGGCTTCAGGTCTGCCGCAGCCCTTTAAAGGTATTGCTCAACTCCCTCAAAAGCAAGTTCTCAGGTAATTCATACCATATTTTACCAGCATATAAGTCTCACCCGGTCAGCTCTGCGGGTGTTCATTCATCCCTCATTCTACCTACACACATGTATACCCTGTAGCACTCCTGAGCTGCAGTACAAAGAGGTTTGTAAATTACATTTTCTTCAAAAAGGCAAATAATACACAATTAACGCATTAAAAAGTTCGTTTCTTCACCTCATCCTTATTTTTCAAAAAAGTTGCACCTTTGTCTAACAGAAACAGTATCAACCATCGAATGGCCAGCAACATTGTCTACAGATTATCTTCATTACCTGTTTTCTACGCAATTACTAATCCATTCTGACAGTTAAACCCTCAGATCAGACAAGTCACAGCACAGAAACGTTACGGTTTTAAGTACTTACATGTCATTGTAAAACCGATAATACAATTAAGTTGGCAACTAGTTTTGAAGAATTTACGGTTTGGGTTTTTTTTTCCTGTACATGAATTCCAAAGATTTCAGTTTATGTGACTAAACTCCCCATTTACATCCTGTGAGAGTTAAATCATTACATTTAGTTTCTGATCAGAGAAGTCAGGTTATTATTTTAACAATCTGTGGAGATATTAATTAGCAGGCATACTCAGTTTGTTGTTGTTTAGGACAAGGCTCTTCAAAAAGGAAAATTTTCCAATGAGTGGTGGCAAGAGCTCTATTTTGTTATTTGACAAGTCTATGGTCCTTAAGTTGCTTGTTAGCTTCTGCAGATCTTCAGGAAACTACGGGGGAGAAAAAAGATACAGCATTTAAATAGTTGATGACAACTTCGAATGTTCAAGTTATACGGCTTAAAATTTTAATTGAAATTTTTTCTGCTATTATATTCTGTCATATGCCTCACAATGTCCAGTCACCACAGTGTGCAACTAAGCTGACAAATTTGCTTAATACATTTTTTTTTTAAACATTATTTAATCTGAGGAAGGGAAAAGGGATATACAGGAGACAGTCCAACATCTAGGAAGAGTAGTTTTTAAACCAAAGAATTTATATTAGAAAGGGAGAAGGAAGTATACCATGACACGAGCTCATTTATGTTTCAGTCTTCCTGTGTGTTTCTCTTAAACATGACTGTAATTTCAAAATATTCTACAGCTAGTTAACAACTCTGTATTTCAGCAGAGCAGGATCGGGAAATTTTTCTCTTGCTTTCCTTCTTAAATAATGATGTAAACCGTTTTCCTTATTCTTATTTACATCCTGTACCACTTTAATCTGCACTTGGCACAGAGCTGAAAAAAAGAAAAACATGGCAATCACCATCAGCAAGCCCTGGTCAATAGGCCAGTGGTTTTGATTCTCCTTTGGTCTGGCAGAGGAAAAGGGAAAAGAGAAGGTAGGATAGTGGAAGAAGCTACTTTAAAAAAGTCTTGGAAAATTACTGCAATACGGAGTTATTTTGCTGATCCTGTGAATTGTTACTTGATTTATGGTTCCAGGGCATTGAGTGGTTTTCTGCAGTTGAGTCCAAGTCAAGACAATTTCTGACCTAATAACTTTCCAGATGCTTGCAGCCCAGTGAACAGCCCGTACAGACTATTCATATGACTACAATTAAATACAGCAGAAGTATCTGAACGCGACAAATTATGGATTTTCTTCCTAGGTAACAACATGGTTATGAAATTTACATTCTTTCCCTCAAGTTTACAGCCCCTTTTTTTAAAAATCACAACATCATAACTAGTACTTCTTGAACACACATGCACTCTAAAGGATAAGCTCATATGCATACAAGTGCCCTGACAGATAAATCCTCAATCAAAAGGCTGGGCAGACAAAAATCTGTTCTGCAAAAAGGAAAAAAAAAAAATCTTGATATACTGTTATCCGTCACTGTTTATGAGAAATACATGTATGCAGTGCATTATCACTATGAGGTGGGAATTTCTCTCTAAAAGTGTCAGTCGTGCACAAACAGCCATGTTTCCCCTACAGTTACTTTACCTCTGTAAGTCCCTTTCCCGTTAGCTGAAACACACCAGTTTTCTGTGCTGTCTCCAGGTGGGCTTTTAATGCACTATTTCCCATCCTAACAGTTCTCTGTGAAGGGTACAGTTTGAGTGATAGTCTCAGCCAGTTTCTCTCAGTTATTCTGTGCCAGAGAACTGCAACCCAAAGCGTCTATGATAAAGGAAACGTAAAAAGTCATTTTATGTGTAGTCTTCACCACCACAAGCACTCCAACATACTAAACAGTTTCACTGCTGTGTTTTCAACTCCCTCACAACTAAATCCTAGAACTAAACTAGATTTACCCAGCTTAAGGTGCCTTCATTATACCAATTTGAATATTGAAACGACACAACAAGTATAGTTGAAACTAAGTGGAAAAATGCCATCCTTTCCACGTTTTGCCTCTTGCAGGGCCCAGTAGCGTAAGGAGATTGATTCTCCATGGAGACCACGATTTTAGTGGCACCCACCAGCACCGACCTGCTGCCAATACTACAGTTTATTTGCTTTTTTGGAAACTTTTGTTTTATCTAGAGACGTGACTTCCTTGCTGCGTCTCTAGATGCAGACACACGACATCCACCGCCCGTAACTCCAGCAGGGTTTAATCCCCAGGACAAACGACGCCCGGTCACAGGCCGAAGGATTAACGTCAGGTTTGTACCCGCGAGGTGGGGAATAAATGGGAGTAAAGCCTAACGCAGCCCGCGAGCAGCCGGGACAGGCAGTCCAAGGGAAGCGCCGGCTAGCAGGGGGCCAGCAGGACCCTCGGCAAGAGGCGAAACCAGTGATGACCCGCTGCAGGCCCCGGTCCC